AATGTGGTTTATGAATGTTGAATGTTGATTAGAATGTGAATATGAATGTTTTAATATTTGGAAACTTCTAATGAAAGTAGTTTTGGAAATATTGGAAATATGTGAATGTCATATATGTTTGCAAATTTAATATGAGTTGTGTGTATATTATTGAGAATGAATCACTGACTTATGTTGTTATTTGGTGGGGATGAGGAAAGATCCTAAGATTGGATAAGGTAACGAAGGAAACTTGTAAATTTATCCAAGGACCAACCCCAACACTCACCAAGGTAAGGACGAGTCTTTAACTTGCACATTGTAATGGAAAATGTGTGGATTTTCTGGTTGTGAAAATGATTAAGTTGCGAGTCGCTAAGTTATTATAAACATATATGGGTATGTTTGTAATAATGATTGCGTTGATTTTCTGGTTACATATGGTTTGTGAAGTAATGGGAGGAAAACCTATGTTTAGCTCCCTTAAGAGGTTGAGCAATGTATGAGTTACCTGGTGGTAACGGCTATTCGTAGCAATGTATGAGTTACCATGTGGTAACGGCTATTCGTAGCAATGTATGAGTTACCTTGTGGTAACGGCTATTCGTGTGAAGAAGATCTTGCTCCTGACCTTGGCACGATTTTGATGAAGACACCAATATCACAAAAAGAAGAAAGGAAGAAGACCGACAAAGACTATCGAAGATAAAGAAAGCTTCAAGATTTAGAGTCTAAGTCTTTAGGTACTTCTATCCTTACAACTCCTTTATTTACTTAGCTAATAATGCTCAAAATTGTTTTCAAGAAAATCAAGAAAAACTAAGTGTGAATAAAAATAATTTTCAAAAACAACATGTAACGGGTTACCATACTTGAGTAACAAGTTACATGAGTGAGAAAAAAGTTTTCAAACCTCTACCAGCTATGACTAATCCATTACAGACTTTGGAGTAACAGATTACCATTTTAGAAAACAGGGTAATCGATTACTCAAAGTAGTGTAATCGATTACACTAAGGCAAATTCACAAAGCTGTCAAACAATGTTGTTGAGTAATCGATTACTCAAATCCAGTAATCGATTACACTGTGTGAATTTTCAAAAAGCTGTAAACAGGATTGTTGGGTAATCGATTACCCATTTGCAGTAATCGATTACTGAGAGTTGTTGCATCAGTTTTTCAGATTTCAAGTGAAGAGGTTTCACTTCAAACTGATTGCTTTTCATTCCAAACGAAACCTACTCATGCCTAAGGGTATTATGGTTGATTGGAAGCCTATATAAAGGCATTGAATCACTCTCACAATATACAACAACTCTCATAAGAAAATCACACAATGCTCTTATACTTTTCTGAATTTTCTGCACTTTTCAAAGAAACATACTCTCAAACTTTCTAAGTATTTCTGAGTTGCTTCAAAGTGCTTTCCAAACATTTTCAAAGTTAAAAGAGCATTATTATCTCAAGTATACGAGTTGTTATTGGATTGCAAGTTCTAGAAATTGTCATATACACTTGTAAGGCAATCCAAGCCAAATTGTACATTCTTCACTTTTGCAAAGTTTACTTTCTTTCACAAGGGTGTGAAGAGAAAGGGTGAGTCACTTGGTATAGTGTTTACCAAGGGTGTTACTTGGAATAGATTTTTCCAAGGGGATTAGATATAAGTGAGTGTATAAGGTACAAGGAGATCTCGGGGTGAGATAATTGTAATTGCAACTCATTATATTTAATAAAGGAATCTCTTGCGCGTCAAGAGTACTGAACGTAGCCTTTAGTGGACAAGAAGGTGAACCAGTATCAAACACTTGCGTACTCTCTTTCCCTTCTCTTTGTTATTTATTTATCCTTCCTAAGTCAATATTTTTCTGCATATTATTTCCGCTGCACGTTAACTTCGATATTGCAGAAAAATTGGCCTTACTTATTGCAACAACTAATTCACCCTCCTCTTAGTTGCAATCTCAGTCTTACAATTCATAACAATGTATGAGTTACCTTGTGGTAACGGCTATTCGTAGCAATGTATGAGTTACCTTGTGGTAACGGCTATTCGTATCAATGTATGTGTTACCTTGTGGTAACGGCTATTCGTAGCAATGTATGAGTTACCTTGTGGTAACCACTATTCGTAGCAATGTATGACTTGTGTAACACCCTAAATTTAAGTCTTTAAAACTATAGTATCAGTCCTAGGATTCTCGCCTGGGCGAGAAAGGCTCACCTGGGAGGGTGAAATCCTAGGCTATACTGGAGGATTCTCGCCTGAGCGGGAGTTGTCTCGCCTGGGCGAGAAATGGCATTTTGGGACTGTTGAGACTGTGAGATTCTCGCTTTAGCGATAATCCCTCGCTTGAGCGAGAGGGTCAGATCTGAGTTTTTAAAATAGGAGGGATTTTCTCGCTTGAGCGAGAAAGGGCTCGCTTAAGCGAGAACCCGACGCTGTTACATTAAATGGGGAACCCCAAACACATTTATGAGGGTTAACCTAGAGAGAAGTGAGAGAGGAGTGCATTTTTAAGAGCAAGGAGGCTTGTGAGCCGTTTAGAAGCTCGAGAAGAGGTAAAGCTCTAGATTCTAACTCTCTTCTTTCCTTTGAAAACTTGTTTTGGGTATGTTGGATCTCTTCTCAAAATGAGGGAAACCATGGAAACTCATCCTTTCGAGTTATGGTTCATTTTATGTTGTTTTTATCTTGAAAACTCTTGGCTTAGAGTTAGTATTTCATCAATGGAAAGGGTTTGTGGGTTGATTCATGAAAACTCCAAAACCCTAAAGTGAAAATGTGGTTAAAGTGGAAAATGGGTAAAATGCGAGAGGTAGAAGATGATTAAACCTTCCAATGTTGAAATATGAGATGAATATGTATGTTTTAGATGGTTGTAAACGTATGATGAAATTAGTTTATAAACATTGAAAATATGATGAATATCTTGTATGGTTGAGTAATGCAATATAAATTGTTTATGTGATATTTGGAAATAAATGACTGACATTATTGTTATGTGATGGGGATAAAGAAAGATCCTAAGGTTGGAGGAGGTAACGAAGGAACTTGCAAAGTTATCCAAAACCAACCCCGACACGTACCAAGATAAGGAGAAGTTATTAATGGTATATGATAATAGAAAATGTGTGGATTTTCTGATTATGTATATGATCCGTGTATGACTCGCCCGATGTGGTATAGAGAGTAACCTGTCCTAGGTGACATCATGTATGACTTGCCCTAAGTGGTATTGCATATGACTTGCCCTAAGTGGTATTGTGTATGACTTGCCCTAAGTGGTATTGTTTATGACTTGCCCTAAGTGGTATTGTGTATGACTTGCCCTATGTGGTATTGTGTATGACTTGCCCTAAGTGGTATTGTGTATGACTTGCCCTATGTGGTATTGTGTATGACTTGCCCTAAGTGGTATTGTGTATGACTTGCCCTAAGTGGTATTGTGTATGACTTGCCCTATGTGGTATTGTGTATGACTTTCCCTACGTGGTATTGTGTATGACTTGCCCTAAGTGGTAATGGAAAGGTAAACGTACAAGTGGAAAATAAGGATTTGAAATGGTATTGAGGAAGGAGGCGACAAGGTATGGTAGAGATGAACGGGTAAATCCAAAGTGTTGGATGTGGTAACATGAGACGGACAAACATGATATGTAGATTTTATCTTTTAATGTCAAGTCTTCTATTAAAACCCTAAAAGTGTGGATTATCGTTTACTGATATTTAGTGGATTGATAACTTACTCCTTTGTTGTTGTGTATATCTGTCATGGTAATCCCATTGCAGGTAAACGAGGTAGTTAAGGATACTCGGTTCGAGGCATGAGGAGCTTAGAACTCGGAATCCTTATTTTGCTTTTTGTTTGATGTAAATTGTTAATTGGATGATTGTAAATCCTAACTGACTTAGTACTACATTTTTGTAATACTGGATATTAATAGCTATGGGTATTTTGGAATCGCATAGCTAGTCATATGCGGTACTTACCGATAAGGAAATATATGAATTATGTTTTTCCGCAATATAAATTGTATGATAATATGATAGGTGTAAAGAGTATTTTTAAAGAATGACTTAAGAGGGTTTTAAGCAAGATGAGGAATGTATGTAAGAGAGGATTTAAATAAATGAAAAATTTTCAAGGGTAGAATTTCGGTTCTTACAACTTGCCCTTGTGGTATTGGCTATTCGTAGCAACATCTGATTTGTTCCATGCGGTAGGATAAATGGTTTGAGATTAACATAAATGCGATAGTTGAATATGAAAAGGAAGGATTAAATTATGTATGGATATGAGGAAGGGATATCGATGAGTTCGAGTAACATGCAAAATGATGAAGATAACAAGGTGGAATATATATATCAAAGTATTATTTATATGTCATGATAAAACTGTTTATCTAACCTTATTGAAATGTGGATTATCATATGATTATGTTGAGTTTAAAACTTACTCCTTTGTGTGTTTTGTGTATTTGTTATTGATAATCCCATTGCAGGTAAACCAGTGAATTAAGGATGCTTGGTTTGGAGCCTTTGGAGCTTTAGACTCCAGATTCATTTATTTGCGTTTTTGTACTCTAACTGACTACTTGCGGATTCGAAATGATTGTAACTATGGTCATTATTTATTTGGATACTTGTAACCGTGCGTACTTTTATTTTTGGGAACTATACTTTTGGGGTTCTTAGTACCCATAGGGAAATTATTAATATGAATTATGTTTTTCTACATTATGAATGTATGTACGGATATTGCATGATAAATGGTTAGAAAATAATCAAAGTAACTAATGTAATGTACCTTAGGTTACTAATCACAAGATATAAGGAAAATGAATGTCTGCATGAGTTAAAAGAAGAAAAATTTTCCAGAGTAGAATTCGGGTCCTTACAGAACCTATACTAAAGGTTTAGAAGACCTCTGTCCTATCCATTAGACAATGGACGCTTTTTTTTCTTTAACTTTTAACTAAATTTTTTTTAAAAGTTAAAGAAAAAAAGAATTCTATAGATATAGAATAATACTAATCCATATTATATTATATATTCTAAATATTAAATAATATTTATTCAAAATTCAAAATAGAATAAATAATCGAATTCAAATTGAATTGAATATTAATAACTAAAAATAACTTAATAAATTCAAAAAAAGAATTAACCAATTGACGAAAAAATACATATATATTCTATAATATAAAAAATTTAACGCCTCTAATTCAAAACCGAACGTGAAACTTTTGTTTCATTCGGCTCCTTTACGGAATAAATTAAGAGATGGAAGACATCAACAAAAAAAAATGGACCCATACCATCTATGTCAGCCTTTCTGATTTGTATGAATACATTTAAAACACCTTGCTTTTTAGATGATCCCTATAGAAGAGGAGTATTCTAACAATCTTTTGTTTTTTCTAGTTACTTCGTTCTCTATTTCTATTTAAGAGAATCTTTAGGAAAAGAATAAAATTTCCATCGAGCTAAAAAAATGTTCATGTCTTTAGTAAACTAAAGTAATTGTTTAATAGCTATTTGACTTCAATCTCTCCTACAAAAAACAAATAAAAGATGGAAGATTTAGTTACTATTAGAAATCAACTTCCTATATCTTTCTCCATAGATCCTTTACTCATACTCAAAAAATTTGTATTATTGATCCAATTCCAAAAAGTCATGTTTCATAATTTGTAAATTAAATTTGTCAATTTAGAAATGATTTTTTTAGATACAAATTACTATAATGTATATTTAATATTCCTCCGAATCATTTGTTGATAGGAATAAAGGAATAAACTAAACTCCTTTAAACAAGAAATAAAGTTTTTGCTCGGGATCCCTTAACTATCATGGGATCTATTGTAACACCAGAATTATCATTTTCGGAATGATTAGAAAACTTAGAGTGTTGGAGTGTATATTGGATAATTCTCGTTTAAGCGAGAGGACCTCGCCCAAGTGAGAGGTTCGATGTTATAATATGAGTTTTCTGGAGACCTCGCTTAAGAGAGGAAGTGGTCGCTTGAGTGAGAGTGAAATCTGGAATACCTGTCAAATTCTAGCTTGAGCTATAATTTTCGCCCAGGCTAGAGAGGGGCCTTAGCATACTGCCCAATTCTCGCTCGAGTGAGAAATCTGCACCCGGGCAAGAGAGTCAGAGTTGAAAAGTTGAAAAAATGGCGAAATTCTCGCCCAAGCGAGCCATTCTCACCCGGGCGAGGCTACGCAGATATAAATGTGAAAAAAAGGGATCTAAAAACCCTAATCTTCATTTTCTCTCTTCCCATTTCTCTCCCAACGGCTGCTCTACCCAAATGGACAATTCTACCCTCCACTAAACCTCAAAACTCATCAAAACCTCTTCCTCTTGCTCCTTAGTGGCACATTTGAGGCCTTTGGCGGTGAAAATGGAGCATTGGAGATTGGAGGAGATGAAGGGAGATTTGGCTCTTTTGTGGAGCAACGGAGCTTACGAACCTAAGGTGAGGAAGAAGACCATTGTGGTCATAGAGTATTTCATTAGAGTCATCTTCTCCTATTTCCCTTAAGAATCGGAGAATATTAACGGATAGAAATTCTCTTGGAAGTTTGTGGTCCTTGTTAGAGTCTTTATTTTCCATGAAGAGGTATTAGCCATAAATGTAGAGATATATGAGGGGTAAAAACCGTTTTATTAGATAAAATGCAATATGCTCATTTATGGTAATACGTCGTCATGAGAAATGGTTCTATCGTTAATATGTTGTATGATGATAGATATGTTATGAGTTGTTTATTGCGATAAAAAGATATGTGTGTATTTATGATAATAACTAAGTTGTGAATCGCTTATTTGTTATAAACATATATGAGTATGTTTGTAATAATGATTGTGTGATGAGTTGTTTATTGGCGATAAATGGACATGATTATATATATAGTAAAGAATTGGATGAGTATGATTATTTTGACATGGTTGTAGTTGTGGGTATTATGGTGAAATGTGATGTAAGAGAAATATTTAAATTATATAAGATGTTATAAAATGCATGGATTTTCTGGTTGTAAACAATGGGAAGAAAATCTATTTTTAGCTCCCTTAAGAGGTTGAGCAATGTATGACTTGCCCTCGTAGAATTGGCTATTCGTAGCAATGTACGACTTGCCCTCGTGGTATTGGCTATTCGTAGCAATGTATAACTTGCCCTCGTGATATTGGCTATTCGTAACAATGTATGACTTGCCCTCGTGGTATTGGCTATTCGTAGCAATGTATGACTTTCTCTCGTGGTATTGGCTATTCGTAGCAATGTATGCCTTTCCCTCGTGGTATTGGCTATTCGTAGAATTGTATGACTTGCCCTCGTGGTATTGGCTATTCGTAGCAATGTATGACTTGCCTTCGTGGTATTGGCTATTCGTAGCAATGTATGACTTGCCCTCGTGGATAGGCTATTCGTAGCAATGTATGAGTAGCCGTCGTGGTAATGGCTATTCGTAGCAACATATAATTAACCCTATGTGGTATAGTATTGTATTGAAAGTGGTTTTACTTTGGAAAGTATTGTAATGTTGTGTAAGTATGTTAATATCTTGAGTATTATGTTGTTGTGGTTATTGGAAGAGATTATTTTGTGGTAATTTATGATGAAGATTGAATGGGATAAAACATGTAAGTATGTGTAATAGATGTGATTTGAAAAGTGGGTAGCTTATGGTATGTTGTATTGATTTATTGAATTGTCTAAGTGAGATATGAGGATTATGCTAATTGAATATATGAACATTATGTGGTATAATGCATTGATTGGTATATATTTAATACGATTGATGTTAGACGTTGTATAGGTTGTAATACTTTAATGTAATAACTCCATGTAATTCCACACTACGGTCAACGTAGTTGGTTCTTACTCCCTTTTGTCTCTGCTTGTATGTGTTATGTATTGGAATTCAGGCGGCGACCATAGTGCATTGGATGCTCACGGAGAAAGTATCGATTATTGTAGTTACTTTATGTACACGACATTGTAATTGAATAAGGCATGTAATATGAAGAACATGGTAATAATCGTCCGCTGTGACATTTGAATGAGAATTGAAGATCTTATTTACATAATGAGAGTATAAACTTTGAGAGAAATATATCATATGTCTTGAAAATTGGATTTTTACTTGATTGATGATTTTAATGATAAGAGGAATGTTAGCTCTTGATAAAGATAAAATGATCTATAACATGAAAATTCGTGTGTCATGCTATGTGGTTTCCTACATGTTCCTATTTTAGATATATTGTTAGTTATCTTGTCGTTCTTTCAGATTAAAACAAATATGCATGGTGGAATGATTGATTGTTTATTAAACTCGGTGGCTAGATTGACATTTTCATTATATGACATGTAACCATGCAAAATTTTAACTTGTAAAAGTCTGCTAGCATGTACTTGCCTGTTTTGCCTGGAAATGAACATGTACATCTTGAATTATTCCTGCGTATGAGCTTGCTTGCAATGCATGAAGGTTTAGGAAGTTGAATAAAATGAGGAATTTGTGTGTAACCTGTTCTGTATGACAATGGTGAAATATCTCTTTGAGATTAATTGTTAATACCCGATAAAGTGTTCCGTGATGTGTGAATTCAAGAAGCAGTATGCTAATTGTTTCGGTAATGACTTGAATAGTAATGTAAATGATTCATGTGAACATGTAAATGGATATGTTGTATGGAAGGTGCTGAGCATGAAGTATTGGTTTTAAAAGTATCTTGTTAACGAGGAAATGTAAATGAAAGATACCTAGTGTGTTTTGAAAAGACTAAGTCTGCTGTTCTTACTTTTATGAGTTGCTAAAAGTTAGACTTTCTTGTTTGCATTAATTTGTATGATTATACTAAAAGGTAAAACTCATGGTTTAAAGTAATGAATGAAGTGGGTGAAGTACTTAAATGTCATTGTGATGAGTGTATTTGCATAAAGGTGGAATTCCCTTATATGTTTATACTTGAAGTGACAATCTAAACCTTTGGAAACTAAAAGCGAACTGGTATGAAAAACAAAATGGGCATAATAAAGTTAAGGTAACAGATTTTCAATTATGCCAGTGATTTCTCATATGTGCATAAATCTGAACCTTGATGATGAACATGGATGTTGTGTTGCTTAAGTTTTAGCGGGTTAATTGATAAACAAAATTTTTGTTCTATGTTTTTGTGGAAAGTGGTATTGGGAATAGCAAATTCATTTTGATTTTTGTACATGAAACTTTTGGCCTATGATGATTGACCTTTTGTAGTTGAATATTTGCAATGCACGATATAGTGGTAATGAACACAAATTAACTGCTTTGATATTGTGCTTACAAAACTTGTTTTTTGTTTCATGTGCGTCAGTAATTGTTTTGCATAATTGCAATGTTATGGCATAAGTATGTTTCTATAAATGGACTGTGGGGACTCTCATGTCGTGGATGGAATGTAACTCCATAACTAACTAGCCTTTTGAAAATGGTGATTTGGATGTTCAGTGTCGCATGAGAAAAGAAAGGGATTTCAAGTTATTTTGAAATGGTTATGAAAACCTTGCTTTCACGAAGTGATTTTCATGAATCTTACATCTAATCTATTTTTGAAAATCATTTTGGGTGAAGTGTATCATTTGGCTAAGCATTAATTTAGTTCCCTTGCTGAAGATCCAAATTTTTAACAACGGTATCTTGAACGAATTTGATGTTGTTTAAAACTTGGTGATGCAATTATGACCATGTGTTTCTAGACGTGATGCAAATTTGAGTACTAAATGTATATTTGCAAGCGTAATTGGGGTATCCATATCTAACGTATGTTATTGGATTGAATGTTTGTAAATTTGCAAATGATCATTGGTAATAAAGCATGTGATTTGAGTAGGCCTACGGTCTTGTATGTCTAGTTGAGGCTATGAATTTGCGAATCTTCTTCTACCGCCTCCGTTTATTGTAAGAATGTTTTACTGGATTGGATAATTACTTGGTGATTTTATGTGGTGCTCTGAAAAACTCCGGAAAATCTTGTTTGTCTAAATGCGACTCTTTGAATGAATGACTTGTTTCTGTGTAGTAGTGAGTACAAGTTTGAAATGCTATGTATAATTTTGAGTTAAGTGTGGCTATTTTTCATGTGTGAAATGAAATGACGCTATTTCCATCGAGTGGATGTCGATCTAGCTATTGTATGTTGAATGCGATCTAATGTATCGTGGTAGATGATGGGTAAAGAGTCCCACATTTCCTTGGTTTCGAAGGT